ATGTCTCAAAAAAACAAAAAACAAAAAACAAAAAAAAAAGAGAAAGGCTCCATAAATTTAGTTAATTCATATTACAGAATAAAACAATGAGGCTGCTCATTCTCTAAGACATCTGAGATACAGTGTTAAGTGAAAAAAGTAAATTATGGAACAGTAAGTATATAGAGTATGAAACCATTTATTCTGAAGCACACACTCATACACCAAAAACAATACTATATATTCCGTGTGTGTGTGTGTGTGTGTGTGTGTAAGAAAAGGGTTTTAAAGGGGACAACTAACTGATTCTGAGGTTAGGGCAAAAAGATTGGGGCTGTGGTTGGTGTGGTAAGAACCTTCAGACACACATATATATTATATATTATATATATTTTAAAAGAGGGTTGTCTAAAAGTACTAAAGCAAAAGTTTATATTAAAACTAACAGAAAAAAAAAAAAAAGAAGTGTTGCCTTTTAGGGGCTCTTTCTGGTAACTGATATCACCTCTCTCATTCTCTGCCATCTCTCACCTCCTCGTCTCTTTTGCTTATCATGAGAAGACTATGGCATTTGGATCCCAGCTTTCCCCTGCCTCAGCTGAGGCCACTATCCTCATTGACACCCATGGTGATATGGATGCCTCATCAATATTGTGGGTCTGAGTCCTCATCTGCAGGGTCCTTGAGCTCTCCTTGGCATCCACTCCCATTTCCCAACTGGGACTTCATTATCACCAGCATCTGCTCCACCTCCAAAACCACTGGTGGAAGCAGCATCCTCTCTTCCCATCTTAGTTGCTCAATGACCCCCACAAATACTACTCTTTGAATATTTTGGGGGTTTTTGATTCTTTCCTCACCTGCCTATTGATTAGATCTCTTCTGTCTTCACTTACCTCCTGATCCCATTTTGCCAACACTCTCAACTCCCTTGTACCTCTCTCTAGCAAAATATCACTTTTGGATGAACTCAAGTGTTTGCTTTCACCGTGAAATCACACACAATTGCACCACAATAAATTTAACGGTCACCAACCTCAACAGGGTCCTTACTTACTCACCAATCCTTACTATAACTCATCTCCTCAAATATGTCTGCCCGCCTCACTGTTCGTCAGCATACCATGCTCACTGTCACCTCCACAAGGTAGTGGCTGCCTTGGCCAGATCCTTTTGCCCAGCTGGTGTATCCATTCCCCCAATTGCTTCAGGTATTGGCCACTAATGGCTCACAGCTTCCTCCTTCTCTGAAGGGTTGTCCCTGACCTATGCCACGCAGGGGTGAAGCAGGGTTGTTAAGCTTTGTCTCAAATTGTGACAACCTTGAGTTGTCATTCATGCTCCAGAGCTCCCCAGGAGATGGGGCTGAGGTGGACTGCGGCTGAGGCCACATCTCGTTGAGCTCCTTCCCCTGCCATCTTCTGCTCATTCACCTTCTGATGTGTTTCTCCTGAGAGCACTCCTTCAACAGGTCAATTGCATAGCATCCCTGTCTTGGGCTCCGCTTCTAGGGCAGTTGATCTGAGACAGTACCTTTGCTTACATTTCCATTTTCCCTGACTGTAATCACTTCTTCTTTGTAATTCTGTTTATCCTTTCAACCACAGATCAAATTCTTTCTCCCAAGAAGCTTTTTCAGACTTTAATTTTCAAGGAATTGTCATTTGTTGTATTACTCTTTTGATTGTTCATGATTTCAGAAAAAGATCCAGTAGGCCTCACACACCAGAAATTCTGAAACTTTTGTGTGCAGTGGACCCCTTGGAAGGCTGGTGAAGCCTGTGGAATCTTTCTTAGAAGAGGCTTTTAGGTCGGGCATGGTGGCTCACGCCTGTAATCCCAACACTTTGGAAGGCCGAGGTGGGCGCATCACGAGGTCAGGAGATCAAGACTATCCTGGCTAACACGGTGAACCCCGTCTCTACTACAAATATTAAAAAAATTAGCTGGGCGTGGTGGCAGGCACCTGTAATCCCAGCTACTTGGGAGGCTGAGGCAGGAGAATGGTGTGAACCCGGGAGGCGGAGCTTGCAGTGAGCCAAGATCACGCCACTGCACTTCAGCCTGGGCAACAGAGCAAGACTCTGTCTCCAAAAAAGAAAAAAAAGAAGAGGCTTTTAAATACACAAAATAAATAGAATTACAAGACAAGACAAATATGATTAAGACAAGCCTGGGCGACATGGCAAGACCTCATGTCTACAAAATATTTAAAAATTAGCTAGGCATGGTGGCGCATGCCTGTAGTTCCAGCTACTTGGGAGGCTGAGGTGGGAGGATCTCCTGAGCCCAGGAGTTTGAGTTACAGTGAGCCATGATCATACACTAGCCTGGGCAACAGACTAAAACCATCTCTCTAAAAAGAGAAAAAGAAAAAGGAATAAAAGCTACCTTGTAACATATTACTATGTTTGCTGCTTTATTAATTCATTAAATAACACAATCTAGCATTGGGTCAAATAATGTAAAAATAGGGATTAAAGTAATACTTTAAGATATCTACTATGACTAAAATGTGGTATGAAAATATCTATATTTTTTATGATTGACAAAGTCAAGAGTACTACAGGTAGCACTGTAATCTGTGACCTGCATTCATAATGAAAGGAAATGCTAAATTTCAGTTAGAGGTGAGAATAAAGATGTGATTTTTGGTTTTCCCCATCCGGGTTCACAGTACTGATTCCTATTCATGGACACCTAGGGGATTCTGTAGACCCCAAGTTAGGACTCCTGTGCTGGAGGATTTGCAGGCCTGGGAAGCAGACATTCAAGTCACTCAGCTTCACACTGAACACTCAAGTACAGGCAGCTTATCCATCATTATGGCCTCTTGTGCTAGGCAGAGGAGACTCCACAACAGTTAGAAGAAAACAAGATGGTATAACCTCCCTCCCATCCCCCAGGAGATTGGTTAAGAAACTTTTCAAAGGTCCTGACTGGATTTCTCCATTATCAGACAGTATTGGTCAAAGATGCCCTCATGGGGACTTGAAGGCCAGGAGAGCTTGCTGAGTTCATGGGGAGAACACAGTGGCCTTCAGACAATAATGGTCTCATTTCCTTGGCCTGTGTCCACTGGTAACCTCCATCAGTTCCTTTCACCCTGGTGACAGCCACTTAGTGTTTTATCAGTTAGCAGATATTTTTTGAGTGTTAGGTGGGGAACAAGTCTGTGCAGGGATGGAAATGATGTAGTTATCCTCAAGAAAATTAGATTGCTATCAGAGATTGGATTAAGATGGTACATCTCTCTTCTTTCTTATCCTAAATTTCCTGAAGTAACAGAAAATGTAGTTTTTTAAAAAGAGTAAATCTAGCTGGGTGCGGTGGCTCATGCCTGTAATCCCAGCACTTTGGGAGGCTGAGGCGGGTGGATCACCTGAGGTCAGGAGTTTGAGACCAGCCTGGCCAACACGGTGAAACCCTGTTGCTAATAAAAATACAAAAATTAGCCAGGTGTGTTGGCTTATGCCTGTAATCCCAGCTACCAGGGAGGCGGAGGCAGGAGAATCGCTGGAACCCGGGAGGCAGAGTTCGTAAATCTTCCATTTTTTTTCTTAGTCAGAAGGAGAAATATTTGGAGAAGAAAAATGGTGACGAATGGTAATACTGATGTGGAAGCTTGGACTAGGGAGTCTATGGGAGCAAGACGGTGGTGCTCTCTGGTTTTGGTTGGTTTCATGGGATATATGAATGGAAATAGAGGAGTGTGTTATATTAATATTATATTAGCTATAATAACAGCTCTGTATTTACCCAGTACTTTTCATTTGTTCAAAACTCTTACACATTATCTAATTTAATCTTCTCATCCTACTACTATATAGGAGAATGTCTCACCTAAAGGATTGCAGAGGAGGCACAAAGCCTATGCTTGTTCCCCAAGATTAGAACCACTGGGAATGCCTTTGCCTTGCCACCTTTTTGGCTGGTTGAGGTATATACGAAGGAGGAACTTATCACAGAGAACCTAGTTAGCGGTTCTTACATTTCAGCATGTATTAACAGGGGAAGTCTGTTAGAGATATATTTTCTGGGCCCGCGACACAGAGATTTGGATTCAGCAAATGAGGTATGACTCACAAGCCTACATTTTTAACAAGTGCTCTGGTCCATCTGCATAGGTGATCCAAAACCATACTTCCAGAAGAGTGGGTGAGGCAAGTCTTCCTGTATCAGTTTGTCTTTAGGTGTGTCAATTGTACACACCTAATGTCGTGACTGGAGTTGTTTTGAGACGGGTCTCGCCCTGTCTCCCAAGCTGGAGTGCAGTGGTGCCATCACGGCTCGCTACAGCTTCCACCTCCTGGGCTTAAGTGATCCTCCCACCTCTGCCTCCTAAGTAGCTGGGACTACAGGTGTGTCACCACGCCTGGCTAATTTTTAAATTTTTTGTAGAGTCGAGGTCTCCCTATGTTGTCCAAACTCTTTTTATTTTTTATGATTGTTACTTTAAGGATCAGTCTGAAATTCCCTTTAGTCACACTTACACGCTTGAACTCATTTCTGGCACTAGTTATGGGCCTGTCCTGGGGAGTTCAAGTCTGGGACACACTATTAGGGAAATAACTGTCACAGCAAAGAAAAAGACCCTTTAAGAAAAAAACTACGAGGCAACGGGTAATACAGAGGTACTGGGCACTCTCGGAGACTGGCGGAGAAACCCCACACACACCTCCCATGGCTGTACTGTGTTCCTCCAGAGCCTGACATACAGGTATTCGGTGAGTACTGGTTAAAAGAATAACAAACGCATTGACACAATTTTAACAGCTTCCCAAGGATTTTCTCTCAATCTCTTGTTAAGCTCAGCTCCTCGTCTGATAAACATGACGTTACATTTTCCCCCCTAATGTTATTTTGAAGTTTCCACGTAGATTAAATATGGCGACTGAAAATAAATCAAGAGACAAAGTGCTCGCGCATCCCATGACCTCCCCACCGGCAAGAAAGAGGAGAAACAGGCGTGAGCAAGCAGCGCTGGTTGGCGCAGAGAGAGAAGTACCAGGCACTCAGCACAGGCCGGAAGTCGGGGTAGAGGGCCGCGCCAGCTTCAGGCGTCACTTCTCACGCGACTTTCTGCGGGAAACATGGCGGCACTGAGCGGTGTCCGCTGGCTGACCCGAGTGAGCGCCCAGGACATGTGGGGCAGGGGCGGGCAAGGGAGCGGAGACTTTGTCCTAGGGTTTCCTAAACAGGGCAAAGTCAACTGTGGTGTTCGGGGTCTGGATGTCTGAAATCTGACCTTACAGGCTTGTGTGTCCCTGTTGTAGGCGTTGGTCTCCGCCGGGAACCCTGGGGCATGGAGAGGTCTGAGTACCTCGGCCGCGGCGCACGCTGCATCGCGGAGCCAGGTATGCATGAATCTGGCTGGGGTCTCGCTCACGACCCTGCCTCTTCCTCGCTGCTCCCTCCCCTGGCTTTTCTCCATCCTTCCCGGGTCTCCCCACTTCCCTACTCCCAGGATCCCTTCTCCCGCCCCAGCTCTATCTTTGCTTCTCCCTTCTTCCCTCAATTAAGGCCGAGGACGTGAGGGTGGAGGGCTCCTTTCCCGTGACCATGCTTCCGGGAGACGGTGTGGGACCTGAGCTGATGCACGCCGTCAAGGAGGTGTTCAAGGTGAGTGGCCTCGGGAATCAGACAGTAGAGGACAGTAGTGGGTTGGAAAGGATTTGGCCTTGACTGTGATGTTTTGGGAACCTGTCTCTGAAGGCTGCCGCTGTCCCAGTGGAGTTCCAGGAGCACCACCTGAGTGAGGTGCAGAATATGGCATCTGAGGAGAAGCTGGAGCAGGTGCTGAGTTCCATGAAGGAGAATAAAGTGGCCATCATTGGTATGTGTGCCCTCTTGCCACTTGTCCATGTGCCATTTAAAATCAAATGATCAAATGTTTATTAAGCCCTTCTCCCCACATGGTATGCAATTATATTAACTCTCCAGGGCAACCACCGCTGGTATTTGGACATTTGTTCTTTCCCATTGGGAACCCAGGAGTTGAGAGATCATGTCAGCTGTCTATGCAGAAAAGTTCCAGGGGTTCTGAATCTGTCCTGAGGCTACATCAACTGTCATCAAATCTTGTTCATTGCATTTCTGGAATACCGCTTCTAGCTGCCCCTTTTTTTCTCTTCTCTTCTCTTTCTTTTCATTTGTTTTCCTTCCCTCCCTCCCTCCCACTTTTCTTCCCTTCCCTTCCCCTCTTCCCTTCTTCCCCTCTCCCCCTCTCTCTTTCTCTCTTTCTTTTTTTTTTTTTTTTGAGATAGAGTCTCACTCTGTTGCCCAGACTGGAGTGCAGTGGTGTGATCTCTGCTCACTGCAACCTCCCCATCTCCAGTTCAAGCGATTCTCCTGCTTCAGCCTCCCGAGTAGCTGGGACTACAGGTGTGCATCACCACACCCAGCTAATTTTTGTATTTGTTTTGTTTTGTTTAAGACAGAGTCTTGCTCTGTCGCCCAGGCTGGAGTGCAATGTCGCCATCTTGGCTCACTGCAACCTCCGCCTCCCGGGTTCAAGCGATTCTCCTGCCTCAGCCTCCTGAGTAGCTGGCTGGTATTACAGGAGTGTGCCACCACGGCTAATTTTTGTATTTTTAGTAGAGGTGGGGTTTCACCATGTTGGTCGGGCTGGTCTTGAACTCCTGACCTTGTGATCTGCCCGCCTTGGCCTCCCAAAGTGCTGGGATTACAAGCGTGAGCCACCATGCCCAGGCTAATTTTTGAATTTTTAGTAGAGGCAGGGTTTTATCATGTTGGCCAGGCAGGTCTCGAACTCTTGACCTCAAGTGATCCACCCACCTCCGCATTCCAAAGTGCTGGGATTATAGGCATGAGCCACCCTGCCTAGCTGCCCCTTTTCTTTTGTCTTCCATGCTTTAATCTCCTCATTTGAATTTTTTGGCTTCTAGTTCTGCCCCTACAGTTCATCTTCCATATCTCTTTTCTTGGAAATAACAGCCTGACTTTTCCAGGTCAGCCTTACCATAGGAAAGTCAGTACTTTATAAGTTGGCCCTTAACTTTTCTGCCTTGGTTCCACAACTCTTGTTCTGTGCTTCAATCACACTAGATTGTGTGTTAGATACCAAATATGTACTACCTGACTTATACTGTTCCCTGTACCCAGAACATTCTTTCTTTGAAGCTACCTGTTAGAGTCCTTCTCACTCATTCACTGTATTAGTTTCCCATAGCTGCCATAACACACTACCATGAACCTGGTGGCCTATCATAACAGAAATGTATTCTCTCACAGTACTGGAGGCCATAAGTCTGAAATTAAGGGGTTGGCAGGGCCCTGCTCCCTCTGAAGGTTTAGGGGAGAATCCTTTCTTGCCTCTTCTGGTGGCTTCTGCTGTTTTTTGACTTGTAGATGCATCACCCCAGTATCTGTGGTTTTCTTCCTTCTCTATCTCTGTATCATTTTTCTCCTTAAATATTTATCACTGGATTTAGGGCCAACCCTCATCCAGGACGATTTTTTCTCAAGATCCTTAACTTAGTTACATCTGCAAAGCCTCTTTTCCCAAATAAGGTCACATATATAGGTTCTGGGGCTCACGGCATGGACAGTCATTTCGGGGATCACTGTTGAGCCCATTGTGCTCACATAACTTAAGGCGTGACTGAAGTGCTAGCTCTTCTGTGCTATATCCTGATATTACTGGAGAGGATTTCTTCTTTGTGTTGCTATGCAAGTTTCCCATGGTATTTATCATGTCTTTCATATTATCTGTCTTTCCCAGTGTTCCGTTTGCTTCTCGAGGGCAGGAGTTGTATGGTTTTAGTTGCTATCCTTATTGCCTGACATATAATTGACATTCATCAGTAGTTGTTGTATTAAAAAATGTCAAATAAGGAGAAGGCACAGAAACATCTAAAAGATCACAGATCTGCTAGCATTGTTTTTCAACTTCTTATTAAACCCAGGCTCTTTTTTGATAAATAGAAAAAAATCCATTCTCCATTTTGAAGTTTCAGCCTAAATTAAATATGTTGACTAAAAATAAAGCATTAAGGCTGGGGCGGGCAGATCACTTGAGGTCAGGAGTTCGAGACCAGCCTGGCCAATATGGTGAGACCCCCGCCTCTACTAAAAATACAAAAGTTAGCCAGGTGTGGTGGCACATGCCTGTAATCCCAGCTACTGGGGCGGCTGAGGCAGGAGAATTGCTTGAACTTGGGAGGTGGAGGTTGCAGTGAGCCCAGATAGCGCCACTGCACTCTAGGCGACAGAGTGAGACCCTGTCTCTCTCCCCCCACCCCCCCCACACACACACAGCAATAGATGAAATATTTCTGGCTGTAACCACATTATTCTCTTTTGTCCCTTGCCCCCAGCAACAATTTAAAAATTACTGATTTGGGAATGGGAGATGGGAGTCTGGGTTACATTATGTTCCTAAGGGGGTTAGACACTGGTCTGGGTTCCCTTGGGCTTGGCCAGTGCCTGACACTCCTTTTCCCACTTTGTTTACACAGGAAAGATTCATACCCCGATGGAGTATAAGGGGGAGCTAGCCTCCTATGATATGCGGCTGAGGTAGGTGGTCTGGGTGGGGCGAATGGTCGAGAGGTGTCAGGGCACCAGGAGCGGAGCTGATGGCCCTGCCCACCCTCAGGCGTAAGTTGGACTTGTTTGCCAACGTAGTCCATGTGAAGTCACTTCCTGGGTATATGACTCGGCACAACAATCTAGACCTGGTGATCATTCGAGAGCAGACCGAAGGGGAGTACAGCTCTCTGGAACATGAGGTGAGGCCCCAGAAACTGGGGAAGGGCAAGGATGAAGGTGGGAGAGAGGTGGAGCTCCTTGTTTCCCTTCCCAGTGTCACCTAGCTGCTGCTGTCTTCTTACCCAGAGTGCAAGGGGTGTGATTGAGTGTTTGAAGATTGTCACACGAGCCAAGTCTCAGCGGATTGCAAAGTTCGCCTTTGACTATGCCACTAAGAAAGGGCGGAGCAAGGTCACTGCTGTCCACAAGGCCAACATCATGTGAGGGACATGGCTTTGTGTAGGATGGGTTCCTGGGAAGGTAGCCCCTGTACTTTCTCGGCTGATTCTGTCCCCTTTGGCCCATGGACAGGAAACTTGGGGATGGGTTGTTCCTGCAGTGCTGCGAGGAAGTTGCTGAACTGTACCCCAAAATCAAATTTGAGACAATGATCATAGACAACTGCTGCATGCAGGTGAGGCCTCCCCACATCTCCACTCACGGGGCGGAGGAGGAGGGTGGGGAGTGGAATTTACTTCATGCCTACACCTTTCATCCTCTAGCTGGTGCAGAATCCTTACCAGTTTGATGTGCTCGTGATGCCCAATCTCTATGGGAACATTATTGACAATCTGGCTGCCGGCCTGGTTGGGGGAGCTGGTGTGGTCCCTGGTGAGAGCTATAGTGCAGAATATGCAGTCTTTGAGACGGTGAGTGAGGCTGCTTTCTCCTTCGGCCCTTCCTACGTGCCCTTTCTCTGACCTCAAGTCTGCCATTTCTCCCCCATCCCAGTGTCTCCACTTCCTAAGTGATCTTAGCCTGTTCTTCCCCCACGCTGCCCACCATGCCTCTTTTCAGTGACCCTAGCCTGACCTTCCCCTCCCATAATGTCCTTTTCCAACCTAAGCCTCTGTGTACCCTTCCTGGCTCCTCCCAGTGTCTAGCCTGCCCCTCTTTCCACAGGGTGCCCGGCACCCATTTGCCCAGGCAGTGGGCAGGAATATAGCCAATCCCACAGCCATGCTGCTGTCGGCTTCCAACATGTTGCGGCATCTCAAGTAGGTCATGGGAGGCTGTGGGCAGTGGTTGGGTCTTGTGAGGAGGAGCCCGGTGGGGAAAGTAGTGGGAGGTGTCTTGGGGGAGTCACAGTTTCTTCCTGTCCATATCCACAGTCTTGAGTATCACTCCAACATGATTGCAGATGCAGTGAAGAAGGTGATCAAAGTTGGCAAGGTGAGTTTAGAAGAGTAGTGCTGGCTTCAGGGTTTAGAGTAGTTCTGGGGTCAGCACCTCGGTACTACTCTCTGGGGAACCTGAATGGGGGTCTCTTTTTCCCCCAGGTTCCCAGAACATCTGCTCCCTGACATCCCTGCATCCCTCTCAGGGCTGTTCTTCACCTCCCTTCTCTTGGCTGTTTCATCCTCTTGATCTCTTTTGCCTCTTAGATCCCATCTGCTGTTCCCTCTTTCCTGCTCCATCCACTGCCCTTTTCATGGGCCATCTGAATGCAGAACTTGCAGCTCTCCTTGGGGGTGGAACAGCAAGGGATACAGGCAGGCTGAAGCATCAGCTTCACCTTCACACCCATCTCCTTTCCGCTGCGATTCTTTCCTTCCACCTGGTCTTGTCTCTATTTCTTCCAAGGAAGGTAGCCACATCGCGCCTCTGATCTGCATTTCCCATCATCTTTGCCTGCTCAGCCTCCTGTCCTGCTCTGGCTGCAGCACAGCTAATAGTAGCTTAAGAGGAGTGGGCAGGTCCATGTGCTTCCCAACCTGGCTCCTCCTTCCATTCCTGTGCATTGCCTCTTTTTTCTGGCTGTCACGCATTCTTGGATTCCATTTCCTCAATCACATTGCCCTACCTCCCTTCATGGGCTCTCTTTTCTCCCTCCCCACGGCTGTTGCCGGTGGTGGCTGTAGGTGCGGACTCGAGACATGGGCGGCTACAGCACCACAACCGACTTCATCAAGTCTGTCATCGGTCACCTGCACCCCCATGGGAGCTAGAGCCCTTTATTTCTTCCAGCCTTGCAAGGACCACACTCCCCATACCCTTCAGTGCAGTGCACCAGGAAAGAGACCTTGTGCCTCTAGGCAGTGGACCATGGTCACCTTGCTGGGTAGAGCCTAGGTTGTCCTTGGGCCCGCTTCCTTAGGGGAGACTGTTGGGTGGTGATGGGAATTGTTAGGCTGGAACCCAGGCCACATGGATGATGATGATTCTCCCCCACAGGTTCGAACCTCTGACATGGGTGGCTATGCTACTTGCCATGACTTCACTGAGGCTGTCATTGCTGCCTTGCCCCACCCATAGGCCTTGCCCATACTCATGTAAGGTGTCCAATAAAGAACATGAACCAACTTTTGTGAATTTGTTTTTATTGGGGAACAGGGCACAGGGTGGAAGATGTCACCTTGGGCTATGGTGTGTCCCACCTCCCAGAGAATGTCCATTTGCATTCTAATCTTCCTGGGATGCTTTATGGAACTTTTTCTTCTTCTTGGAGCTGCTCTTGCCAGCTGCCTCTTCAGGCCCACTGCTGACTGGCTCCTCTTTGGAGAATTTCCTCTTTTTCTTGGAGCCACTTCTGTGGCCTGCCTCTTCGGGGTCATTAACTGTTTCCTCCTTGGGCGAAGACTTCTTCCTCTTGGGAAGACTGGTGCTGCCAGGGGTCTCTTCAAGATCACTACTCATCAACTCCTCCTTGGAAAAAGATTTCTTTTTCTTGGGTTTGGAGAAAGGGATAGATGGGTCTTCCATTCCATTCTCCTGAGGAACCTCCTGGGGCTTTTGCTTTTTCTTCTTTTTGGGTTTTTCACTCGTCTCCTAAAGGGAAGGACAGGGGAACAGGCTGTGAGAACAGTGCCATCACACACACCCCCATTACATCTTCAGCAATTAAGTAGCCAAAGCAGGGAAAACTGTGTAGTTACTAACATTGCCCAGTGTTTCTGGCATAGTTTAATTGTGTGGGTATTAACTTTAGAACTCCATCCCAAAGACTGTCCCAAATTAGAAGGAAAACATGTAATGAGAAATTACCTCAGCCCATTAAAAAAAAAACCTAAAGAAACACCCACCATGCTGGTCACAACAGAACCCTCATGCCAAGTTCCAGAGAGGGCCCTGAAACACTGTTTAAGAAACTGGGTGCTAAATGAAAATCTCAGGGAGAATGATTGTAGCTTAGCACATTGGGGACCTCCCTGCCCCCATCCCCACTGTGAAACACTACCACCTCCGGACACACGTCTGAGAATAAGCAGAGCAGGAATTTACACTACCCCAGGTTGAGGACTCCTGGGAAGCAGCCGAGGACAGAACACACATGCCCAGGGAACAGGTGTGAGCTACAACCAGCTCTCTGGGCTCTTGAGCAAGTTCAGCACCTATATCCTTCCTATAGAATCAAGAGGTAGTTTTAGATGTTTCAGGTCCTTGTTTCAGTCCAAAAGCCTGGACTCAAGACCATGGCTTGATGCAGCACATCCTTTATTCTGCTGTTGAAAATCCTACAACCTAGGATCTCTGCCAGGGTCATGCTGCCTACTGACCTCACACTCCTCTGGAGTACTACTGCTGTTTTCTGAAGATGCGAGGGCAAGTGCAGCCAGCCGTTTCTTTTCCTTCTTTAAGCGTTTCTTCTCCTGTTTCTCCAGCTTCCTAGTAATCTCAGCAGCCGCTTCCTCTGCCTGGTCAAACAAAAGTGCTAAAAGGGCCTGAAGACCTCTGGTGCTCTGAGGACTCCTTTCTGGCATCATTGGATCAGGCTCATTAAATCAGTTTTTTTTGCCTCCACTCTACGAGGTCAGGCTCAGACAGTTCATCACCTCCAACAGCTAGCTATGCCTCTCCACGCCCAGCAAAGCCCAACTAACCTGAACCATTGCTTCCTTCATGACATCCAGATTCTTTCGTGGTATCTCTCCAGTCTCATAGAAGGACAGTCGCTCTTCAACTTGTTCTCGAAGCTTCTCCCCAAATACACTCGTGGGCACCTCTGGATGTGCGTGAGTAACAAAGCCTGTCAGCCCAAAGAGAAAAACTACCCCCACCCTGTGTTCCCTCTGCCCTCAGCTTCACTCAGACCCAGAGTCTCAACACTCACTAGGTGAACTGCTGTTGACGAAAAATATTGCCATCATCGTGGAAGCTATGGTTGTGAGCCTCCCCACCCAGCCAGCCAGCCAGCCCCTTCTCACAACTGCCAGCCCCCCCACCCATACCAGAGAAGCAATCGATTCGTGAGGCAATACTGCATTTGTTTGCCAGGTATCGGGAGATGCGGCCTTTGTTCTTGGCAGCTGCTCGGCCAATGAAGGTGGAGTGGAAAATGAGTCCGTATTTTGGTGTGTTACCCCTTGTCTTCAGGGCTCTGAGAAAATATTCAGTGGAGAGTTTAAGATCAGAAATTTCAACCCCATTAGCCAAGGCAGCTCAGCTCCTCCCCTCCTCTCACCCCCAAGTCCTGAGTGAGCCTCAGGCCAGATTGGATCTCTACCCCAATGCATGCCAACCCATAGCTCCCAGAGGCAGAGGGAAGGCATCCGATGTCGCTGACCTGGAGACTTGGTCCCTTTGCTGGGCCCTGGGAATCACTCAGACACCAGGACTGGCCATCACCCCCATAGCAGAGGCCTGTATAGGTCAGGGAGCCCTGGTCAGCCATCACCGTGATCCCCCAACAAGCAGTGGGCACCAGAAGTGGCACCTGATTGTGGGCAGGTGCCCTCACTGGTACCTGAACAGGGCCTTTTCAGCCCCAAGGATCTGCACTGTGGATGCTGGATACTTGGCCAGGTTGGTGAGGCTGCCAGCATGTGCGATGAGACGTGCACCTACCTGGAAAGAGTCAAGGAAGCAGTCAGAGAAACGAACTGCTGACCTGCCAGTTGCATGACAGCCCTGCTCCCCTCCTCCCCATCAAGCACAACTAGGGAAGACATAGTGGGTGAAGAAATACAGCAGTGCAGGTGCACATGGCAACAGTCCTTATTCTCCCATTTTTGTGTCCCGTGACGCACCGCTTCCCCAATTAGGGCTGACAGGCTGGGGGCTACTTGGCTCATCTTGGAGCGCAGGTAAGTGTGTAGGCTCTGGCGGTACTCAGATAAAGACACCACACGACTGGAGAAGCTCTCGATGTTTATCAAGTCAATGGCAGATATGTCCATGCCTAGGAAAAACCAAGTGTGAATGCAGGAGGCCAGATATTCAGAGCCCCATACCTTATGCAGGCTGCCAGGCTCTGCACTGACCCATGGAGGACCGTGAGGCATCCAGAATAGCCTTAGCCTTGGCCCCATCCATTGTCAGCTCCTCCAGCTTCTCCAGCTTTTCCTCATTCAGTTCCCTTCGGTTTCCAATAAACTGGGCAAGACGGCAGTATGTGGCATTGTCGTTGATGATCTTCACCAGCTCCGGAAAGTGATACCCATACCACTCCCTGCAAAGAGCCACAGTCACTCCCTGGCCCAGCTGCTTCATCAAAAACCATAGAGCTACAAATCTTCATTCTATGTTCCCCCATTCACAATACAGACCAGGCACAGGGCCCGAGCTGAGGTGTATATAGGGTAGGTTTACTCTACCTCCTCTTTCTATACAGTCAGTGTAAAAACACAGCCTGTGGTAAGCACCAGGAGGCCTAGACCCAGCCCCAGTCCACATGGTTCTACCCACAGGATGGTCAGTCCTCATCAAGACTCAGAATTAGCTAAACTACAGACCAAAGGCTCCAGTATTATGGGTGGCCCCTGCACTTTACCTGACACGCATAGAGAAGGTATTGATGTCCTTATCCAGCTGGTCCAGGAGGCTAATGGACTGGATGATCATATTGTCCACTCGGTTCACATTAAACTTAACTTTGGCACGGGAATAGCTGTGTCCCAGCCCCAGCTGTGCTTTACAAGCTGACAGATCAGTCAGACCCTTCACCAGATTGTGGAAGTGCAGACGAACTCCTAAGAAGAGGGCAGGACGGTGAGCAACAAGGGGCTCTGAGCTAGCTCCTGCACCCATGGGCACCAGCCAAGTCCAAGGCCTTCCCAGAAGTCACAACAAGCACCCACGTTTCCAGAACCTCCTCCCCGAAAATGTCAAGGATAACATGAATATAACGGATGGTCTCACCTCTCAGGATCTCAGCTATGACGCCTCCAGTCTGGCAGTTGTACCCTAACTCCTCCTGTATTGCAGCACCAATCTTGGGATCCCCAACTCCCAAGAGTACTTTCTTCTTTTTGGATGGCAGGTGGGTCTCCAAGAGCAGGCGGAGGTCCTCATGAACAACCCCTCAGAGGAAAGAACACAGTTCCCACTCACAGGCTGAATGATGATCAATTCTAACATCTCCTCAGCTGATTACCCTGCTTCCACGGAGCATGCTGGGATGGCATACCTAGACCCCTCCCCATCAGGCATTGCTCAGAAACATGGAGACATCAGTGACTGCACTCAGGGGATTGACAGATTTGATTCGCAAGTCATCACTGCAAAGCCTGGCCCAGCCATGGGAACAATTGCACTCAGGTCTGACAGCACAATCGTGCAATAAATAGCAGCTTGTAACACACCCTTGAGCATTTAGTAGAATTTGCCTTCTGGAACCAAACCTTTTTTTCTTAGCCTGTGTTTATCCAACTGCCCTTTCCAAGCAAATAAAAAGCAGAAAACTAGACACCTGATTGTGTTTAGGCAAAAAACTCAGGCACAGGTAGGTGTTAAGCCAACCCCCTTTAAGAAACCCCCTTTGTCAAGCCGGGCACGGTGGCTCTAGCCTGTAATCTCAGCACTTTGGGAGGCCGAGGCGGGGGATCACGAGGTCAGGAGATCGAGACCATCCTGGCCAACATGGTGAAACCCCGTCTCTATTAAAAACACAAAATTAGCCGGGTGTGGTGGCTGGCACACGCCTGTAATCCCCGTTACTCGGGAGGTTGAGGCAGAAGAATCGCGTGAACCAGGGAGGCGGATGTTGCAGTGAGCCCAGATCTTACCACTGCACTCCAGCCTGGAGGGCAGAGACTCTGTCTCAAAAAATAAATAATTTGTCACTACAGTGCCCACAAGGAAACGTAACACACATCCCACATCGTCTGCTTTCAACAGTTTGGTCCATCACAGTTCCCAGATCTTGAGCTCTGTGAAGACAATTATTTCAAATTACACACTTATGTCTCAAATACTGCCTCACACCTATCAGACTCACAGCCGGCCAAAGACGGCAAATACTATCACAAGCTGCCGGAGAGGATACCGGAAGGAACCACATCTCCCTGCGATACTTGGTGGTGGCCGACTCACCTTCAGACACGGCGTTGGCATTTTCCAAGGCAACCTGGGACGAGGCAAAGGG